TAATAAATAAAAAGAGGTATACATTTAATAGTATAAAATAGTTAAAATAGGTAAGTAGGTAAGTATGTGTCAAATATCAAATGCAAATGTTTTCCCCCTTTAATTATCAAAATTACATTGTATTAAGTAATATTAAGTTATGTTAACTAATTAACTAAATAAAATTGTTGACAACATATACATATTTTTTTGCATTTTTCTTTAATTAAAATGTTATCTACTTAATATGAGTAATAAGAAAAAGATTAAATGATACTTATAAACGACATGTATGTTGTAATGCAAGTCGAAATCTTTGAGGTGCTCTATGTATACGTTAATATTAAGTAAAAATTTAAAACATTAAGTATATTTTATTGATATTTTCATGACTAGATAGATATATCCAACGTATTTGATGAATCGATTTTTTACTCTTCTCAAAAGAATAAATTTCTGGTATTTAAAGTGTAATAAACATGTATTTGTACATTCCATCTGATAAGAACCAGAAAGGAAAAAGAAGGTGAATAATAAAATCAATAATAAAAAGAATAGATCTAACATACATATAATATATTGTCGAAATGTTGAATTAAAAATATTCATGCGATATTTTTGTATTATAAAGATGTGACTTTGTTTGAACATGCACAGTAATTATAATATATAGTGCTTTTATTTTTTTCCAATTTTTCAATTTAACATTGTCTTGATATTATTCTGCTCATGATTCCCAATCATGTCTCACAATAAAAATCGTTATTGAATATTATGTCAATAAAAGAATATTTTTATATAATCATGCTACACATAAATGAAATCATTTTTATAGAAGAAACTGCAATATAGTAAAATATTTTTACACAATCATTTTTCATAATCATATGAATGTAAACATATATATATAGGAGAAACCGCATTTGTAATAACACGAACGATGCTCACTGCATATCTCACACACGCTAGCGAAATATTTAAAGTCGCCAGATAAGAAAATATAAAAATATAAATAATGAAAACCAAATGTATATTTGGTAAAATTCAAACAAAAATTCATTTGTCGTTTCAAAAAAAATAAAAAATATTAGCAATTATAGTATAGAAAATGAATTATAGAATTATAGAAAATGTATTATTTAAATGGCTATCTTATTCAGCGATCAATGTTTTTCAAAATAATCAGGAAAAAAAATTATAAGAAAATAATTTATATTCTAGATAACCTTCGAAAAATTATAAAATTGATATTATTATTGAAATTCTTTTCCAAAAATTAGTAATCAATTGAAAATATAACAATAGTTGCCAATCTTTAATTGAAAATAGTCAGAGTAGAGATTAAAATTAATTTCGCTTGAACACATGTGTGCTTAATGACATTTTTAATTAGAAATAATTATAATTGAGAAATTATACAATATGTGAAAAAAATTTTGAGACTGTTGCGGATAATAACGATACTTTATATTCTTCAAGATTTGCCGAGTATTTATCATCCAATTTGAAGGAAATTTTTTTGCTTTAATAATGGCTTTAATAGTGGCTGTGTGTATTATCAGAATCTGAATAGACTTGAATACACATGAAAATCTTTTTTAAGTGTACCTCTTACATGCATCTATAGATAAATAAAATAATAATATGATATTGAAATATAAATAATGTAATATTTTGAATTCTGTATATATATATATATATATATATATATATATATATATATATCTGTGTGTACGAAAATAAAAAGATATACATAATAAAATCATGAGAATTGCGAATATAATTATAAATTAAAAAAATACATTTCAAATTAAATCTTATAAGAATCATTATTATAAATTACATACATTTAATACACATATATACAATTTATCCATACAGATACACATATTTTTGTCTCTTATAAAATATTAATATAAATCAATCTAATTTCGAGCTAATTTGATATTGTTTCAGATATAGTATATATAAGAAACAGATGTAGCGAAATGTCGACAATTAATGATATAGTATGATTTCAAAAATATATAAATCAACACAGAACAGCGAAAATATATTATTGGACTAAGAATGTCAATAATAAGTATATAGCACGTTGCTCCACAAATACTATAGAGGACACAACAGGTAAATGTAATACATTTAACATAACAAAATATAATATGACAAACACATTTTTAATATCAACTATAAATCATTATTATGTGCCAAAAATTAGCGTGAAATTACAAGAAATATCTAGTAATTTACAATATATACTTAACAAGCAATATTTGCATGGCTGGTATACTATCGCATAAAGTCGATCAATCAACACTGTCTTCAAAGAAGAACCGTATCCGACGAGTGCAGGAACTAGAATGAGGCACGTAAAAATTCGATGCGCAGACAGAGACAATTGCGCTTGCGCGAACCAACAATTCATATTTCGAATACTATTGCGAGAAATATCCGTAAAATATTTCTTCATCGTCAAATCAATAATTAAATAATTGCCTATCTATTCCGGAGCAATAATACAAAATTGCGAGTATCTACACCAATTTTACGTATCGTATCTTACCGTTTGTAATCTCACGTAGTATTTTCTACTATATCATCGTGAACTTATATTAATGTTTCGTTATAATCTATAATAAAAGAGAAACAAATTATGAAATATTCAAGAAAAAACTTGAAAATACGGCGATAGTGGAAACCTTGCCAATTTTTCATAGTCAGTCGTCTCTTGATTTTCATCGAAAAATGATATGCATCGTGAGCCAGCATTTTAAACTCAATCGTATTCTTCTACTCGCTATTGGTTTGTGGCCTTATCAACAGTCATTACTCGTTCGGTTTCAGCAATTTTTGTTTCTTAGTATTCTGGGAAGTTTTATTGTATTTCAGGTATGCTAATATTTTCAGTTATGCATTATGTGTCTAATAGGTTGTTATATATTTAAATTTAATTATTTATAATATGTAATTAAATATCATAATAATATGTTTAATTATTAGCAATAAAAAATGTTATATAAATGCTGTTATTTAATATGATTAGAATCATTTTGTTTGCTATCATAAATCGGAAAATAACGGAATGCTATAATCATTAAAGAAATAATTGATTAATACAATTTCGAATTTACTGATTGCAGTTCAGAATATTTCTCACTTCAGAATGTACATTTGAATATATTATAAAAATTTTATCTATCACATTATTCTCTACGATATTTATAATTAAATATAATTCATTTTGGATTAACTCTCAATCTGTAAGTTACCATAAATATAAGTGTATTTAGAATTAAATTAATTTTTTTTTATACAACTTTCTTAAATTTTAAGACGAAATATTTATAAATAAAGTATTATTAACGCATTAGGTGAAAAATTTATTGGAGCAACTACAAAATATTTGTAATGAACTAAGAGATGAAAATGAAATTATTATTATGAAAAAATATGGAACCAACGCAAAATATTATACAATTAAAATGATAGGTAAAAAGACAATTGAGATATGGGGACAAAAATAAAATTAATGGTCACAGAAAATCAAATGATTAAAAAAAAAAGAGAAATTTCACTATTTTTTGTCTTATGATGTTTTATCAATATATGTACAAATAGCATAAAACAAGTAATTTTGTTTAGATTTCATAATTTATTTTCTAGAAATGAGATTTATTTAAATAATTATTAGATATGTACATATCTGTAGTAAAGGATATTTTAAATTGTGAAATAATCTTAAAATCTAATAAAATAGTAAAATATTTGTGCAATTTTCTACAAAAATATTCAGAAAAGTATTTAAAACGAATCAATATTTATAAAATATATCACAGAAATAAATAAACTATAAATATGGAAAAAAATATTCGAGACAATATTTAAAATCAATTATGATTTGCGAGCCAAAAATTCCTGGAGTTGCGATTTATTTGTCTTTTTATATATAGTGATTTCAGTGTGCAGTATATTAACTGTTTTTTTTATATCACTGTGGTCCCATATTCTCGATATTGTTTTACCTATGAATGAATCTCGACATTCTAAGATACAGATACTAACTGAATACTTTATCGATCAGGAAAAGTATTTCTATTTAACTATCTTGCATATAAATGCAGCTTTATGTATAGGAGCAACAACAATTATAGGAACGGGAACAATGCTCATAGCGTACCACAAACATGCTTGCGGAATATTTAAAATCGCCAGGTAAAAAAATAATGTCCTACCAAATGTTTTTCATATAATTAAGATTTTGTTTCATTATTCTACGAACAAAAAATGTACACTTATAGAAATTATAGGATAAATATTATTATAGGATAAATATTATAGGATAAATATTATTTATAGCTACCGTATCGAACAAGCAATGACAATTAATAGTTTCCATAGTAATTTGAAGAATAAGAATGTAATTTATAATAGAATAATTTGTGCAGTGGATGTTCATTGCAAAGCTATAGAGTTGGTATATCTACCGATAATACACAATATTTTCAATAGTTCATATAACGATATTTTCTTATTCTTCAGGTTTTCTAAATCTTTATATAACGATATTTTCTAATTCTTTAAGGTTTTCTAAATCTTTAATATCTAGCTTTGAGGGTTCATTCTTTATTTTAATTGGATTTTTGGTGATTTCTTTGAGTCTCAACCTTTTTGAAGTAAGTTGTTAAACATATCTTGTGATAACATATATTACATTACACATTTATTAATGACTAAAATAATAAAACTATTAAAAATATATAAAATATTTGAGAATCTACATTATAAATTGCTAATTTATAATCTTAAATAATATGAAAAAAGGTGAATAAAAGAAAATAAAAAATTTCTCCATTTATGTATATTTCATATCTTTTATCTCTAATTTTCTTGCAATCTAATTCTTGTAGGAAATGAACAATTTTAATATGAAAAACATTGATCATGATCATTGTTATAGATGTATCAAGTTTTATTATTTGGAAGTGACAAAGAAGAATTTTTATTACACTTTGTAATGGCAATCGTAATTCTTTTATATATGTTCTTAGCTAATTACGCCGGACAAGAAATTATAGATCACAATAATCATATATATTATACCGCGTAAGACATAATTTTATATAGTATTTAAAATTTTCTGCAAACATCTGTCATATAAAATAAAAAATATAAATTTACAAAATTCAAGAAACTTATACATCTAAGGAATTACTGAAATACTACTTAAATTATCGATTTAGCTATAGCAATTTGTTCGTAGATATAACGCTCGCTGGTATGTAGCACCGTTACACACACAGAAGCTGATATTATTTCTATTACAAAGAAGCAACAAAATTGTCAGTTTGAATGTAGGGGGACTGTTCGCAGCATCTTTAAGCTGCTTTGCTTCCGTAAAAATTATTTATAAAAATATGTGATAGTATAATATAATATTATAAACAAATTAAAAAGAAGATGTATTTTATTACAGTTAGCAAGTGCATCGATATCTTATTTCACTTTTATATATTCTACGTATTAATAAATATAAAGAGGTATACATTTAATAGTATAAAATAGTAAAAATAGGTAAGTATGTGTCAAATATCAAATACAAATGTTTTCCCTCTTTAATTATCAAAATTAAATTGTATTAAGTAATATTAAGTTATGTTAACTAATTAACTAAATAAAATTGTTGACAACACATACATATTTTTTTGCATTTTTCTTTAATTAAAATGTTATCTACTTAATATGAGTAATAAAAAAAAGATTAGTTGATACTTATAAACGACATGTATGTTTTAATGCAAGTCGAAATCTTTGAGATGCTTATTGTATACGTTAATATTAAGTAAAAGTTTAAAACATTAAGCATATTTTATTGATATTTTCATGACTAGATAGATATATCCAACGTATTTGATGAATCGATTTTTTACTCTTCTCAAAAGAATAAATTTCTAGTATTTAAAGTGTAATAAACATGTATTTGTACATCCCATCTGATATGAAGCAGAAAGGAAAAAGAAGTTAAATAATAAAATAAATAATAAAAAGAATAGATCTAACACACATTTAATATATTGCCAAGATGTCGAATTAAAAATGTTCATGCAATATTTTTGTATTATAAGGATGTGACTGCTTTGTTTGAACATGCACAGTAATTATAATATATAGTGCTTTTATTTTTTTCCAATTTTTCAATTTAACATTGTCTTGATATTATTCTGCTCATGATTCCCAATCATGTCTCACAATAAAAATCGTTATTGAATATTATGTCAATAAAAGAAAATATTTTTATATAATCATGCTACACATAAATGAAATCATTTTTATAGAAGGAACTGCAATATAGTAAAATATTTTTACACAATCATTTTGCATAATCATATGAATGTAACCATATATATATAGGAAGAACTATATTGGTAATAACACGAACGATGCTCACTGCATATCTCACACACGCTTGCAAAATATTTAAAATCGCCAGATAAGAAAATGTAAAAATAAAAATAATGAAAGCCAAATATATATTTGGTAAACAAGAAATCATTTGTCGTTTTGAAAAAAATAAAAAATATAAGCAATTATAGTAGAAAATGTATTATTTAAATAGCTATCTTATTCAGCGATCAATGTTTTTCAAAATAGCCAGGAAAAAAAAATTATAAGAAAATAATTTATATTCTAGATAAGCTTCGAAAAGTTATAAAAGTGAGATATTATTAATGAAATTCTTTTCCAAACATTAGTAATCTAATTGAAAATATAACATTAGTTGCCAATCTTTAATTGAAAATAGTCAGAGTAGAGATTAAAATTAATTTCGCTTGAACACATGTGTGCTTAATGACATTTTTAATTAAAAATAATTATAATTGAGAAATTATACAATATGTGAAAAAGATTTTGAGACTGTTGCGGATAATAACGATATTTTATATTCTTCAAGGTTTGCCGAGTATTTATCATCCAATTTTAAGAAAATCTTTTTGCTTTATTAGTGGCTTTAATAGTGGCTCAGTGTGTTATCAGAATCTGAATAGACTTGAATACACATAAAAATCTTTTTTAAGTGTACCTCTTACATCTATAGATAAATAAAATAATAATATGATATTGAAATATATATAATGTAATATTTTGAATTCTGTATATATATATATATATATATATATATATATATATATATATATATATCTGCGTGTGCGAAAATAAAAAGATATACATAATAAAATCAAAAGAATTGCGAATCTAATTATAAATTAAAAAGATACATTTCGAATTAAATCTTATAAGAATCATTATTATAAATTACATACATTTAATACATATATATACAATTTATCCATACAGATACATATTTTTGTCTCTTATAAATTATTATAAATCAATTTGTATATATATCAATCAATATAAATCAATTTGTTTCTTATAAATTATCATAAATCAATCTAATTTCGAGCTAATTTGATATTGTTTTAGATATAGTATATATGAGAAACAGATGTAGCGAAATGTCGACAATTAATGATATAGTATGATTTCAAAAATATATAAATCCACGGACAACAGCGAAAATATATTATTGGACAAGGAATATTAATAATAAGCATACAGCGCGTTGCTCCACAAATACTACAGAGGACACAACAGGTAAATGTAATACATTTAACATAACAAAATATAATATGACAAACACATTTTTAATATCAACTATAAATTTCATTATTATGTGCCAAAAATTAGCGTGAAATTACAAAAAATATCTAGTAATTTACAATATGTACTTAACAAACAATATTTGCATGGCTGGTATACTACCGCATAAAGTCGATCAATCAACACTGTCTTCAAAGAAGAACCGTATCTGACGAGTGCAGGAACTAGAATGAGGCACGTAAAAATTCGATGCGCAGACAGAGACAATTGCGCTTGCGCGAACCAACCATTCATATTTCGAATACTATTGCGAGAAATATCCGTCAAATATTTCTTCACCGTCGAATCGATAATTAAATAATTACCTATCTATTCCGGAGCAATAATACAAAATTGCGAGTATCTACCCCAATTTTACGTATCGTATATTACCGTTTGTAATCTCACATAGTATTTTGTACTATATATTATCGTGAACTTATATTAAAGTTTCGTTATAATCTATAATAAAAGAGAAACAAATTATGAAATATTCAAGAAAAAACTTGAAAATACGGGGATAGTGGAAACCTTGCTAATTTTTCATAGTCAGTCGTCTCTTGATTTTCGTCGAAAAATGATATGCATCGTGAGCCAGCATTTTAAACTCAATCGTTTTCTTCTACTTGCTATTGGTTTATGGCCTTATCAACAGTCATTACTCGTTCGGTTTCAGCAATTCTTGTTTCTTAGTATTTTGGGAAGTTTTATTGTATTTCAGGTATGCTAATATTTTCAGTTATGTATTATGTGTCTGATAGGTTTTTATATATTTAAATTTAATTATTTATAATATGTAATTAAATATCATAATAATACGTTTAATTATTAGCAATAAAAAATATTATATAAATGCTGTTATTTAATATGATTAGAATTATTTCATTTTATTTGCTATCATAAATCGGAAAATAACGGAATGCTGTAATCATTAAAGAAATAATTCGTTAATACAATTTCGAATTTATTGATTGCAGTTGACAATATTTCTCACTTCAAAATGTACATTTGATTATATTATAAAAATTTTATCTATCACATTATTCTCTACGATATTTATAATTAAATATAATTCATTTTGGATTAACTCTCAATCTGTAAGTTACCATAATTATAAGTTTATTTAGAATTAAATTAATTTTTTTTATACAACTTTCTTAAATTTTAAGACGAAATGTTTATAAATAAAGTATTATTAACGCATTAGGTGAAAAATTTATTGGAGCAACTACAAAATATTTGTAATGAACTAAAAGATGACAATGAAATTATTATTATGAGAAAATATGGAACCAACGCAAAATATTATACAATTAAAATGATAGGTAAAAAAACAATTGAGGCATGGGGAAAAAATAAAATAAATGGTCACAGAAAATCAAATGATTAAAAAAAAGAGAAATTTCACTATTTTTTGCCATATCCTTGTGTTATTTTATGAAAATACAAATAGCATAAAACGAGTAATTTTGTTTAGATTTCTTAATTTATTTTCTAAAAATGAGATTTATTTAAATAATTATTAGATAAGTACATATCCGCAGTAAAGGATATTTTAAATTGTGAAATAATCTTAAAATCTAATAAAATAGTAAAACATTTGTGCAATTTTCTATAAAAATATTCAGAAAAGTTTTTAAAACGAATCAATATCTCGAAAATATATCACAGAACTATAAATATGAAAAAAAAATATTCGAGACCATACTTAAAATCAATTATGATTTGCGAGCCAAACATTCCTAGAGTTGCGATTTATTTGTTTTTTTACATATAGTGATTTCAATGTGCAGTATATTAACGGTTTCTTTTATGTCAATGTGGTCCCATATTCTCGATATTGTTTTACCTATGAATGAATCTCGACATTCTAAGATACAGATACTGACTGAATACTTTATCGATCAGGAAAAGTATTTCTATTTAACTATCCTGCATATAAATGCAGCTTTTTGTATAGGAGCAACAACAATTATAGGAACGGGAACAATGCTTATAGCGTATCTCAAACATGCTTGCGGAATATTTACAATCGCCAGGTAAAGAAAAAAATGTATAATGTTCTTTGAAATGTTTTTCATATAATTAAGATCTTGTTTTATTATTCTATGAATGAAACAATTATACAGGAATATAATTGTTTTATTACATTTATACATATTCTATGAATAAAACAATTACATAGGAGAAATTATATAGGACAAATATTATTTATAGCTACCGTATCGAACAAGCAATGACAATTAATAGTTTACATAGTAATTTGAAGAATAAGAATGTAATTTATAATAGAATAATTTGTGCAGTGGATGTTCATTGCAAAGCTATAGAGTTGGTATATCTACCTGATAATACACAATATTTTCAATAGTTTATATAACGATATTTTCTTATTCTTCAAGGTTTTCTAAATCTTTAATATCTAGCTTTGAAGGTTCATTCTTTATTTTAATTGGATTTTTTGTGATTTCCTTGAGTCTCAACCTTTTTGAAGTAAGTTATTAAACATATCTTGTGATAACATATATTACATTACAAATTCGTTAATGAATAAAATAATAAAACTATTAAAATATACAAAATATTTGAGAATCTACATTATAAATCGCTAATTCAAAATCTTAAATTATATGGAAAAGAGCTTAATAAAAAAAATAAAAAATTTCTCCGCTTATGTATGTTTCATATCTTTTATCTCTAATTTTCTTGCAATCTAATTCTTGTAAAATATGATCAATTTTAATATGAAAAACATTGATCATGATCATATTGTTTTAGATATATCAAGTTCTATCATTTGGAAGTGACAAAGAAGAATTTTTATTGCACTTTATAATTGTAATTGTAATTCTTTTATATATGTTCCTAGCTAACTACGCCGGACAAGAAATTATAGATCACAATAATCATATATATTATGCCGCGTAAGATATAATTTTAAACAATATTTAAAATTTTTTTTTGCAACCATCTCTCATATAAAATAAGGCATATAAATTTATAAAATTCAAAAAGCCTATATATCTAAGGAACTATACTACTGATATACTATTTAAATTATCGATTTACGTTAGCTACAGATATTTGTTCGTAGATATAACGCTCGCTGGTATGTAGCACCGTTACACGTACAGAAGCTGATATTATTTCTATTGCAAAGAGGCAACAAAATTGTCAGTTTGAATGTAGGAGGACTGTTTGCAGCATCTTTAAGCTGCTTTGCTTCCGTAAAAATTATTTATAAAAATATGTAATAATATAATATAATATTATAAGCAAATTAAAAGGAAAATGTATTTCATTACAGTTAGCAAGTGCATCGATATCTTATTTCACTTTTATATATTCTACGCATTAATAAATAAAGAGATATACATTTAATAGTATATAATTAATAGTATATAATAGTAAAGAATAGGTAAGTATGTATCAAATATGAAATGTAAATGTTTTCCTCTTTTAATTATTAAAATTAAACTATATTAAGTAATATTAAGTTATGTTAAATAATTAACTAAATAAAATTGTTGAAAACATATATATAATTTCTTTATCATTTTTTAAATTAAAATGTTATCTACTTAACGTGAGAAATGAGAAGAAGATTAGTTGATACTTATAAATGACATGTATGTTTTAATACAAATCCGAAATCTTACAGGTGTTCTATATACAATATATTTTAATATTAAATAAAAATTTAAAACATTGTGCACATTTTACACTGACTTTCGTGACAAGGTAGATATACCCAACGTATTTGATGGACCGATTTTTTCTCAAAAGAATAGAAATCTTTAGTATTTAAAGTGTAATAAACATGTATTTGTACATCTTATTTGATAAGAAGCAGAAAGGAAAAATGAAAAGAAGTTAAAGTAATTGAAAATAATGAATCTAACATTTTGATCTAAAATATTGTCGAGATGTTAAATTAAAAATATTCATGCAATATTTTTGTATTATAAGGATATGACCGCTTTCTTTGAACATGCATCGTAATTATAATATATACTTTCATTTTTTTACAATTTTTCAATTTAACGTTGTCTCGATATTATTTAGCACATAACTCCCAACCATGTCTCGCAATAAAATTTGTTACTGAATATTATGTCAATCAAAAAAAAATATTTTTACATAATCATTTTGCATAATCATATGAATGCAGCCATTTATATATTATAGGAAGAACTGCATTTGTAATAAAACGAATAATGCACATATCGAACACGCTTGCGAAATGTTTAAAATCGCCAGATAAAAATATATAGAAATATAAATAATGAAAGGCAAATGTATATTTGATAAACAAAAACTCATTTATCGTTTCAGAAAAAATAAAAAATATAAACAATTATAGCAAAAATATTATTTATATAATTATCTTCTTCAGCAAATCAATTTTTTTTAAATAGCCAGAAAAGAAATAATTATTTAATAGAAAAGAAATTATAATTTATAAGAAAATAATTTATATTCTAGATAACCTTCGAAAAATTATAAAATTTGTATTTTTATTGAAGTTCATTTTCAAAAATTCGCAATCAATAGAAAATACAATATTAGTTGTCAATTTTTAAATGAAAAGAAATAGAGTATTGAACCAGAGAGATTGAAATTAAGTCGCTTTAGCTCACGTGGAAACACAAGAAGTAAACATTTAACATAATAAAATGTAATATGACAAACGCACTTTAATATCTAATATACATCATTATTATGTGCCAAAAATTAACATGAAATTACAAAAAATATCTAATAATTTACAATATATACTTAACAAGTAATATTTGCATGATTGGTATACTACCGCATAAAGTCGATCAATCAACACTGTCTTCAAAGAAGAACCGTATCCGACGAGTGCAGGAACTAGAATGAGGCACGTAAAAATTCGATGCGCAGACAGAGACAACTGCGCTTGCGCGAATCAACAATTCATATTTCGAATACAATTGCGAGAAATATCCGTCAAATATTTCTTCACCGTCAAATCGATAATTAAATAATTGCCTATCTATTCCGGAGCAATAATACAAAATTATGAGTATCTACATCAATTTTACGTATCTTACTGTTTGTAATCCCACATAGTATTTTGTACTATATATTATCGTGAACTTATATTAAAGTTTCGTTATAATCTCTAATATAAGAGAAACAAATTATGAAATATTCAAGGAAAAACTTGAAAATACGGAGATAGTGGAAATCTTGCCAATTTTTCATAATCAGTCGTCTCTTGATTTTCATCGAAAAATGATATGCATCGTGAGCCAGCATTTTAAACTCAATCGTATTCTTCTACTCGCTATTGGTTTGTGGCCTTATCAACAATCATTACTCGTTCGGTTTCAGCAATTTTTGTTTCTTAGTATTCTGGGAAGTTTTATTGTATTTCAGGTACGCTAATATTTTCAATTATGTATTATGTGTCTAATAGGTTGTTATATATTTAAATTTAATTATTTATAATATGTAATTAAACATCATAATAATACGTTTAATTATGAGCAATAAAAAATTTTATATAAATGCTGTTATTTAATATCATTAGAATCATTTTGTTTGCTATCATAAATCGGAAAATAACGGAATGCTGTAATCATTAAAGAAATAAATGATTAATACAATTTCGAATTTACTGATTACAGTTGACAATATTTCTCACATCAAAATGTACATTTGATTATGTTATAAAAATTTTATCTATCACATTATTCTTTACGATATTTATAATTAAATATAATTCATTTTGGATTAACTCTCAAACTGTAAGTTACTATAATTATAAGTGTATTTAGAATTAAATTAATTTTTTTCTATATAACTTCCTTAAATTTTAAGAAATGTTTATAAATAAAGTATTATTAACGCATTAGATGAAAAATTTAATGGAGCAACTACAAAATATTTTTAATGGACTAAAAGATGAAAATGAAATTATTATTATGAGAAAATATGGAACCAACGCAAAATATTATACAATGAAAATGATAGGTAAAAAGACAATTGAAACATGGGGAAAAAAATAAAATTAATGCTCACAGAAAATCAAATGATTAAAAAAAAAGAGAACTTTCACTATTTTTTGCCATATCCTTGTGTTATTTTATCAAAATACAAATAGAATAAAACAAGTAATTTTGTCTAGATTTCATAATTTATTTTCTAAAAATGAGATTTATTTAAATAATTATTAGATAAGTACATATTTGTATTAGTAAACGATATTTTAAGTTGTGAAATAATTTAAACTCTAATAAAATAGTGAAACATTTGTGCAATTTTTTACAAAATTATTCAGAAAAGTATTCAAATCGTATCGTAAACCATTACGTATAAAATATATCACAGAACTATAAATATGAAAAAAAAAATATTTGAGACAATATTTCGAACCAATTATGCATTGCGAGCAAAAAATTCTTAGAGCTGCAATTTATTTATCTTTTTACATATATTTAGTGGTTTCAATGTGCAGTATATTTACTGTTTCTTTTGTGTCACTGTGGTCCCACATTCTCGATATTGTTTTACCTATGAATGAATCTCGACATTCTAAGATACAGATACTGACTGAATACTTTATCGATCAGGAAAAGTATTTCTATTTAACTATCCTGCATATAAATGCAGCTTTTTGTATAGGAGCAACAACAATTATAGGAACAGGAACAATGCTTATAGCGTATCTCAAACATGCTTGCGGAATATTTACAATCGCCAGGTAAAGAAAAAAATTTATAATGTTCTTTGAAATGTTTTTCATATAGTTAAGATCTTGTTTTATTATTTTATGAATAAAACTATTATACTTATATAGGAGAAATTATATAGGACAAATATTATTTATAGCTACCGTATCGAACAAGCAATGACAATTAATAGTTTACATAGAAATTTGAAGAATAAGAATGTAATTTATAATAGAATAATTTGTGCAGTGGATGTTCATTGCAAAGCTATAGAGTTGGTATATCTACCTGATAATACACAATACAATAATAATACACAATTTTCATTAGTTTATGTAACGACATTTTCTTATTCTTAAAGGTTTTCTAAATCTTTAATATCTAGCTTTGAAGGTTCATTTTTTATTTTAATTGGATTTGGTGTGATTGCCTTGAGTGTCAACCTTTTTGAAGTAAGTTTTTAAACATATCTAGCTTGTGTTAACATATTACATTATAAATTCGTTAATGAATAAAATAATAAAACTATGAAAAATATATAAAATATTTGAGAATCTAAATTGTAAATTGCTAATTCAAAATCTGAAGTAATATGGAAATGAGGTAAATAAGAAAATAAAAACTTCTCCATTAATATATGTTTCACATCTTGTACATCCAGTTGTCTTGCAATTTAATTCTTATAGGAATTGATCAATTTTAATATATGACAAACATAATATATGAAAAACATTGATCATAATCATATTGTTTTAGATGTATCAAGTTCTATCATTTGGAAATGATAAAGAAGAATTTTTATTGCACTTTATGTTTGTAATCGTAATTCTTTTATATATGTTCTTAGCTAATTACGCTGGACAAGAAATTATAGATCACAATAATCATATATATTATACCGCGTAAGACAATTTTATATAATATTTACCATCTTTTTTTGCAACTATCTCTCATATAAAATAAGAAACATAAATTTATAATATTCAAAAAACCTATGCATTTAAAGGATTACTGATATACTTCTCAAATTATCGATTTACGTTGGCTATAGTTATTTATTTGTAGATATAGCGGTTGCTGGTATGTAGCACCGTTACACGTACAGAAGCTGATATTATTTTTATTACAAAGAGGCAGCAAAGTTGTTAGTTTAAATGTGGGAGGACTGTTCGCAGCATCTTTAAACTGCTTTGCTTCCGTAAAAATTATTTATCAAAATATGTAATAATATAACATAACGTTATGAGCAAATTAAAAGGAAAATGTATTTCATTACAGTTAGCAAGTGCATCGGTATCTTATTTCACTTTTATATATTCTACACATTAATAAAAAGAGATATACATAGTAATTGTATATAATTAATGATATATAATGGTAAAAAGTAAGTAAGTATGTATCCAATGACAAATGCCAGTATTTTGCTTTTATAATTATTAAAATTTTAAATTATGTAATATTATGTAGTGTTAAGTAATTAATTAAATAAAATTGTTGACAACATATATATAATCTCTTTTTCATTTTTTTTAATTGAAATGTTATCTACATAATATGAGTAATGAAATCGAAATGAGAAAAAGATTAGGTGATACTTATATGCACTTGAAATCAATTACATTAAAGAAATCTTAAGTAATTTTTTAAAATAAATGACATGTATGTTTTAATGCAAACATCGGAAATTTTTCAGGTGTTCGGTGCGTCTGTATATGTTAATATTAAGTAAAAATTTAAAACATTAAGTATATTTTCATGACTAGGTAGGTATATCCAATGTATTTAATGAACCGGTCTTTTTTCTTCTCAAAAGAGTAAATCTTTAGTATTTAAAGTGTAATAAACATGTATTTGGACATCATTTTTCATGAGAAGAAGAAAGGAAAAATGGAAAGAAGTTAAAGTAATTGAAAAGAATAGATCTAACAATTAAAATGTCGTTGAAATGGTGAATTAAAAAACTTCATGCAATATTTTTGTATTTATTATAAGAGTATGATCGCTTTCTTTGAACATGCATAGTAATTATAATATATACTTTCATTTTTTTACAATTTTTTAATTTAACGTTGTCTCGCTATTACTCAGCACATAACTCCCAACCATGTCTCGCAATTAAATTTGAATATTATGTCAATCAAAAAAAATATTTTATATAATCATGCTACACATGAATGAAATCATTTTTATAGAAGGAACTGCATTTATAGTAAAATATTTTTACATAATTATTTTGCATAATCGTATGAATGCAGCCATATATATATATATAAAGAAAGAACTGCATTTGTAATAACACGAATGATGCATATTTCAAACACGCTTGCGAAATGTTTAAAATCGCCAGATAAAAAAATATAGAAATATAAATAATGAAAGGCAAATGTATATTTGATAAACGAAACTCATTTATCGTTTCAAAAAAAATAAAAAATATAAACAATTATAGCAAAAATATTATTTATATAATTATCTTCTTCAGCAGATCAATTTTTTTTAAATAGCCAGAAAAGAAATTATTCTTTAATAGAACAGAAATTATAATTTATAAGAAAATAATTTATATTCTAGATAACCTTCGAAAAATTATAAAATTTGTATTTTTATTGAAGTTTATTGTCAAAAATTAACAATCAATAGAAAATACAATATTAGTTGTCAATTTTTAATTGAAAAGAAATAGAGTATTGAACCAGAGAGATTGAAATTAAGTCGCTTTAACTCACTTGGGATCACAAGAAGTAAACATTTAATATAATAAAATGTAATATGACAAACGCACTTTAATATCTAATATAAATCGTTATTGTGTGACAGAAATTAGCGTGAAATTACAAAAAATATCTAGTAATTTACAATATATACTTAACAAGCAATATTTGCATGGCTGGTATACTACCGCATAAAGTCGATCAATCAACACTGTCTTCAAAGAAGAACCGTATCCGGCGAGTGCAGGAACTAGAATGAGGCACGTAAAAATTCGATGCGCAGACAGAGACAACTGCGCTTGCGCGGATCAACAATTCATATTTCGAATACAATTGCGAGAAATATCCGTCAAATATTTCTTCACCGTCAAATCGATAATTAAATAATTGCCTATCTATTCCGGAGCAATAAAATAAAATTGCGAGTATCTACACCAATTTTACGTATCGTATCTTACTGTTTGTAATCCCACGTAGTATTTTGTACTATATATTATCGTGAACTTATTTTAAAGTTTCGTTATAATCTATAATAAAAGAGAAACAAATTATGAAATATTCAATAAAAAACTTGAAAATATGGGGATAGTGGAAATCTTGCCAATTTTTCATAGTCAATCGTCTCTCGATTTTCATCGAAAAATGATATGCATCGTGAGCCAGCATTTTAGACTCAATCGTATTCTTCTACTCGCTATTGGTTTATGGCCTTATCAACAGTCATTACTCGTTCGGTTTCAGCAATTTTTGTTTCTTAGTATTCTGGGAAGTTTTATTGTATTTCAGGTATGCTAATATTTTCAGTTATGTATTATGTATTATGTATTATGTGTCTAATATGTTGTTATATATTTAAATTTAATTATTTATAATATGTCATTAAATATCATAATAATACGTTTAATTATTAGCAATAAAAAATTTTATATAAATGCTGTTATTTAATATCATCAAATTTGAATCATTTTGTTTGCTATCATAAATCGGAAAATAACGGAATGCTGTAAATCTTTAAAGAAATAATTGATTAACAATTTTACAATTCCGAATTTACTGATTACAGTTGACAATATTTCTCACATCAAAATGTACATTTGATTATGTTATGAAAATTTTATCTGTCACATTATTCTCTACGATATTTATAATTAAATATAATTCATTTTGGGTTAACTCTCAAACTGTAAGTTACTATAATTATATGTGTATTTAGAATTAAATTAATTTTTTTATATAACTTTCTTAAATTTTAAGACGAAATGTTTATAAATAAAGTATTATTAACGCATTAGGTGAAAAATTTATTGGAGCAACTACAGAATATTTGTAATGAACTAAAAGATGAGAATGAAATTATTATTATGAGAAAATATGGAATCAACGCAAAATATTATACAATGAAAATGATAGGTAAAAAGACAATTGAGACATGGGGAAAAAAATAAAATTAATGGTCACAGAAAATCAAATGATTAAAAAAAAAGAGAACTTTCATTATTTTTTGCCACATCCTTGTGTTATTTTATCAAAATACAAATAGCATAAAACAAGTAATTTTGTCTAGATTTATTTTCTAAAAATAAGATTTATTTAAATAATTATTAGATAAGTACATATTTGTATTAGTAAACGATATTTTAAGTTGTGAAATAATTTAAACTCTAATAAAATAGTGAAATATTTGTGCAATTTTTTACAAAATTATTCAGAAAAATATTCAAAACGTATCGTAAACCAATACGTATAAAATGTCACAAAACTATAAATATGAAAAAAAAAATATTTGAGACAATATTTCGAACCAATTATGCATTGCGAACAAAAAATTCCTAGAGCTGCAATTTATTTGTCTTTTTACATATATTTAGTGATTTCAATGTGCGGTATATTTACTGTTTCTTTTGTGTCACTGTGGTCCCACATTCTCGATATTGTTTTACCTATGAATGAATCTCGACATTCTAAGATACAGATACTGACTGAATACTTTATCGATCAGGAAAAGTATTTCTATTTAACTATCCTGCATATAAATGCAGCTTTTTGTATAGGAGCAACAACAATTATAGGAACGGGAACAATGCTTATAGCGTATCTCAAACATGCTTGCGGAATATTTACAATCGCCAGGTAAAGAAAAAAATGTATAATGTTCTTTGAAATGTTTTTCATATAGTTAAGATCCTGTTTTATTATTCTATGAATAAAACAATTATACTTACATAGGAAAAATTATATAGGACAAATATTATTTATAGCTACCGTATCGAACAAGCAATGACAATTAATAGTTTACATAATAATTTGAAGAATAAGAATGTAATTTATAATAGAATAATTTGTGCAGTGGATGTTCATTGCAAAGCTATAGAGTTGGTATATCTACCTGATAATACACAATACAATAATAATACACAATTTTCAATAGTTTATGTAACGACATTTTCTTATTCTTAAAGGTTTTCTAAATCTTTAATATCTAGCTTTGAGGGTTCATTCTTTATTTTAATTGGATTTGGTGTGATTACCTTGAGTGTCAACCTTTTTGAAGTAAGTCTTTAAACATATCTATCTTGTGTTAATATATTACATTATAAATTCGTTAATGAATAAAATAATAAAACTATTAAAAATATATAAAATATTTGAGAATCTACATTATAAATTGCTAATTCAAAATCTTAAATTATATAAAAAAAGATAAATAAAAAGAAAATAAAAAATTTCTCCATTTATGTATGTTTCATATCTTTTATCTCTAATTTTCTTGCAATCTAATTCTTGTAGGAAATAATCAATTTTAATATGAAAAACATTGATCATGATCATATTGTTTTAGATGTATCAAGTTCTATCATTTGGAAATAATAAAGAAGAGTTTTTATTGAACTTTATAGTTGTAATCGTAATTCTTTTATATATGTTCTTAGCTAATTACGCTGGACAAGAAATTATAGATCACAATAATCATATATATTATACCGCGTAAGACAATTTTATATAATATTTACCATTTTTTTGCAACTATCTCTCATATAAAATAAGAAACATAAATTTATAATATTCAAAAAGTCTATGCATTTAAAGGATTACTGATATACTTCTCAAATTATCGATTTACGTTGGCTATAGTTATTTATTTGTAGATATAGCGGTTGCTGGTATGTAGCACCGTTACACGTACAGAAGCTGATATTATTTTTATTACAAAGAGGCAGCAAAGTTGTTAGTTTAAATGTGGGAGGACTGTTCGCAGCATCTTTAAACTGCTTTGCTTCCGTAAAATTATTTATCAAAATATGTAATAATATAACATAACGTTATGAGCAAATTAAAAGGAAAATGTATTTCATTACAGTTAGCAAGTGCATCGGTATCTTATTTCACTTTTATATATTCTACACATTAATAAAAAGAGATATACATAGTAATTGTATATAATTAATGGTATATAATGGTAAAAAGTAAGTAAGTATGTATCAAATGTCAAATGCCAATGTTTTGCTTTTTTAATTATAAAAATTTTAAATTATATTATGTAGTGTTAAGTAATTAATTAAATAAAATTGTTGACAACATATATATAATCTCTTTTTCATTTTTTTTTAATTGAAATGTTATCTACATAATATGAGTAATGAAATCGAAATGAGAAAAAGATTAGTTGATACTTATATGCACTTGAAATCAATTACATTAAAGAAATCTTAAGTAATTTTTTTAAATGAATGACATGTATGTTTTAATGCAAACATCGGAAATCTTTCAGGTGTTCGGTGCGTCTGTATATGTTAAATAAAAATTTAAAACATTAAGTATATTTTCATGACTAGGTAGATATATCCAGTGTATTTAATGAACCGGTTTTTTTTCTTCTCAAAAGAGTAAATCTTTAGTATTTAAAGTGTAATAAATATGTATTTGGACATCCTTTTTCATGAGAAGAAAAAAGGAAAAATGGAAAGAAGTTAAAGTAATTGAAAAGAATAGATCTAACAATTAAAATGTTGTTGAAATGTTGAATTAAAAATCTTCATGCAATATTTTGGTATTTATTATAAGGATTTGACCGCTTTATTTGAACATGCATAGTAATTATAAAATACAGTACTTTTGTTTTTTTTTCATCAATTTAGCAGGATCTGCTCTACAGAGTGTTTCATAAGTGATGGGCAAAATTTCAGGAATGGATTCCTCATGCTTAGAAAAGAAAAAATAGTTAATCAACATAGGTCCAGAAATGATTAGTTTTTGAGTTATTAAGATTTTTGTAATAACAAATTTTCTCATTTCTCGTCTTAGAAATCCTTTTAAATCTTCCCCTTCCCCTGTTTCAATTTTTATTCGCAGTTCGCACATTAATGAATGATTACGATTCGATAAATATTTATCGTTGCTATACAGTTTCATGTCGTTTATTAAAAGTTAATTAATTTTTAATTATTAATATTTATAACAAATTATGTTTCGATACTAATTGTAATCGTGTTTAGTACAAAAATTACAATATACGTTTCTCATCACTATTTTATTACTCAAGTGCCATTGTGCGAATGATGACAAAGCCACGACATGTATAGCGCGCTTGCTATACATCGCCAAGACCAAATATATTATTATTGATAATTCTCTGCCGAAATATTTTACATACTACATATATACGCGGAATTTTAAATTATAGAGGTATATATTTTATTTTAAATTAATTATTAAACGATTGATGTATCACGGAACTTTTTGTTATGCTAACGATTTGAATTTATTCAATTGTTTTACCGCGCTCTTCCGAAGTCAAATTTTATAATATTTAGTTTTGCATTTTAAAAGACTGACTTAGAGCGAGCTAAATAAATAAATAAATAAATAATGTTGAGAGAAGAAAAAAAGGCATATAAATAAATAAATAAATAATAGCGTGAAAAGAGAGAACATACTAATATTTTTATATAATAAATTATTATTAATTAGATTATTTATATTTTTATTTATATTATTTATATTATCAGAGAGACATACATGTTACCCTCTGAGAACATTCGTAGACTTTGGCTTTGTAGTTCATATCCGTTTGACGTACGCTTTTTACGTAATCGGTCATCGGTAAAACCATTCATAAATTAACATATGTTGGTAAATGATTTTACTCTCTGAAATTGGCAAGACTGGCGTTTTGACAGATCAGGTTATACACAGCACACAGCGTATACAGCATCTGGTGCGGCTATGTAAACAAAATTGTTTATGTGGTAACGGCAAGAACAACGTGCGCGAAATGAAAATTATACGGTAGAGAGACGTCAATTGAATGTAATTTTGCTTTTCTGAAAATGCAAATTGCAAATGTGATAGAGTGACAATATCGTTGCAGCAAGTATCGTTGTCAGGATGAAAGTAACGACTTTGAAAGGCATTTTTCCCGATCCAAGTAAGTAATATATTACACATTCTTTATTCAAAATAATTGTAAAAGAAGCTCTAAAAAAGAGATTCTGTTTAATAATTAAAATAAAAATAAATTTCATTTAATCATGATATTAAGTGAAGAACTGATTACATGTAAAGTTGTACACAAAAAATAACATGAAATTACTTAATTAGTGCTTGTTTCAGTGTCTGACAGATAATTAATGATGTGCAACATATATTTTATGTGTAACATTTATTTATATGTGCTATTATAGAGCCAGTCAGAAGGAAGAACTTCATACAGGAAAATGTGAAAAATCTACGGCGAATGGAAAAATGCTTTCAAACCAATCGAGAGGTGGAAGAGCTACAAAAACTACAACTGCACAACCATCACAAGCTGACAGATAGATATCAGAATGTATCCGCAAGGGTGGTCACTAGTTTCCGGGAGAAAAACAAACATGAAAGCAATCATATCTGTCAAGTCTCAAAAAATAACATTCATTCGAAAACTAATAATCCAACATCGATTGACAAGGTGGAGAATGAAGCACAAATTCAAGATGGAAACAATATACTGGAATTAGACAAAAAGCATGCTGTTAAGAAAATTGTTAAACAAGGGATAAATAATAATACATCAGATAGACAAAAGAAAACTAGTAAATATAATAAGAGTCAACAGAAAGTGCAGCCAAAAATTTTATCTGAACCAAATGTCTTGCATAAATCTGAAAATGACATGAATGCACAGGTTATTGTAAAATATAGAAATCAAGGGGTTCAGACTTTAGATACAGACCAAACGGAAAGTATATATTCTGAAGGCGTTATTCGGTAAATATATACATTGTGTTATAAATTTTAAGACTTTAAGAACTATTATTAATCTATAAAATAATAAATGATTTAAATTAGGACAAAATAGAGATAATAGAAAAAAATTTGGAATGGAATTCTCTATATTTATAATTGATTATCTGTTAATTTCCATTTAATTAATTGTTTCACTTATATTATTTCAGTGTTTGTTTTATATTTTTAATAAACTTGATTTATACTAATCTTTTTGATGTTTATTCTGCATAGATATCCCTCCAAGAAAATTACAAAACATGATGAAACAGCAAATGGTGACTTAAATCCACAAGAGGAAAGTACTTTAAGGAATCAATTCAGTTCACCTACAGATAGAGGCGACATGCGTAATCTCGAAGATATGCAAAATGTTCATTTACGAAATTCTGTATCGCCGGCACCTAGGGAAGAAATTGACTTTATCAAATTGAATAAAGAACGTTCTTCCATTGCCACTAAATTGGCGACGCAGCTTAACAATGGTGTACCACCACCGAATTATCGCAAGGGTGTTATTCCTAAGTATGACATTGCAAATAACTTTTCTTCTTGACATCTTTCTGTGATTTTGAAAGAATTTCCTTTATTATTTTTTATATTTTTTAACCGTTTCTTTCTCATTGCATTGTAATATCTTATAGTATTTTGTCAGAGTACTTTATGTAATCTATATGTATACTATGTATACTATGTATACTATGACACTGGTAATTCTTCGACTAATTATGTTTTATACAAACATAATTATTAATAAGTAACAAATTATAAATATAGCTGAATAATTATGAAAGAAATATTAATCTGGTAAAACCTTAACATTATAAATTTGCTTGATTCTTTTTGTAACAATTTTTTAAATAGATATCTTCGAGATAGAAAGGAAGCGCAAGAAAAAGAGCAAAAGACTAAGGCAGAATCGCATTCTGATTGTCCAGAAGGTCATGTGTCCATACCTGACCACGAACGTAAGGAAACGCTGCGACTATTAAAAAAAAGTGTGTATATATTTTAATATATATGTATATGTGTGTGTATGTGTATGAAATTGAATAAGAAGCATATGATTTGTTCTGAAAATTAATTATATTGAATTAATTAAATCTGATATTTGATTATGTGATGCAGATTATCAAGATTACGTCAATGAATTAAATATGATGCCTATAAAAACAGATACTTTAAGAGCACAGAGACGTAAGATTGAAATAGAGAAGCAATTGAATAAACTGGAAGAGGGAATCAAGGTGTTCTCGCGTCCCAAAGTTTATGTGAAAATAAATGCATAAATTACAACTCAGAATAGGATGCACGTTTATTGATTATTATTCGACTATGTTTTAATGCATTGCCCAGTTTTAAGAATCCACGTAATTGTACATCTTGTTGTAAAATAACGAGAATCACAGTTGTATATATTTTACATGTGTATGAAAAATTGATTAGTCTAATGTTTATGTCTAACAGTTTCAAGATATGCTACAATGAAGATTGATCAACTATTTCATCAAACTATTTTCTTACAAAACTGCACGTACTCTGAGTTTGACAATTCTGTAGATAGTAACACATCTATTACAAAAAATAAATAATATTTTATTTAATAAATTAACAATGCTGATTATTCTCTAATATATTCGTTCTGTTTTTCTAAGTAACTCCTATCGATGGTATGCACAAAGGATATTGGATCGAAATGCAATTTTCCCAGATTATAAAATATCTCTTCATTGTCGTGCCACTTCTTCAAGTCAAAATCTTTAAAAAATATTGCAATCTCTCTCTTTGCCGATTCTGTTGAATCTATAGTAAATAATATATTTTTTTTATATAAAGTTTTTTATTTGAATATTGATATTATATTAATATTGTATTTATTATAGTGTTATATATATATACCAGATCCGTGTGTGGCGTTTCTAGTATCAGATAGACCAAACATGCCTCTGATAGTGTCTGGTGCACTGTATTGCGCTTGATAGACTTTAGTAGGACCCATCAATTGTCGCCACTTAACGATAGCATCATGAGCCGCCAGGATGTGAATATCGGACGGGCCGCTGCACATGAAAGAAACGAGACGATTGTAAAAGAACCTGTCCCTGTGCTCCTTGTAAAACAATTCGGCCTCCTCTCGAGATATCGTCGTCCTGCGCGATCTGACAACTTTGAAATTATTGTCGATTATTAAATCTCGAATCTTCTGAAAAATCAGAGCGAGTTTCAGTCATGGTTTTCTAAATTCTTTCTTCGCACGCTAAGAGCGCGAATCGGATTTGTTTATATTCATATCCTGCGGAGCTTAAAATTCTGTCTGTAGTTTTGGCGTATCTTGGAAAATAAGGTTAAGTTCTCATACCTGAAGAGCGAAGGGAGATTTAACGACGTGCGGCTTAAGTATCGCCAATGTTAACTGGAGATATTTCCTCGATTGCATATCAACATTCTTTTCAGATTGTTTACCGAGATCGAGAAACGTCACGGTATCATTACCGCGCGTACGACAGATAGAGAAATGCGACTACCACGTGTCTGACATACGCATGCGCGCCTGCGCGCCTCCGAGAGATGGTGCACGTCGCGCTCATTCATAATTATCATTGAACTATACATACTGAATGAGTCATCAAAAAGGAGTGGGGGCGGCACAACTTTGAAAGACTCACATCGTAAGATCTCATATCTATCCTTGTTGTAATTTTTTAATTGTTTAAGACAGAAAATTCACTTCGATAAAAGCCTTTTAAAAATATTTCCCCTTTCAAAAAATTCATTTCGACAAAGCATTCAAGAAAAGTCATAAATAATAATTCTTAAAATCTCTAATTGTTAAAAATAATTCTTACTTTTTGTGTATTTATTATATATGCATTTTCTATATTTTTGTGAAACTGCCGCAAATAAGTATTGTATTCTTTTAACAGGTATCCAAAGTATAAAACCTTGCAACAATTTTTCTTAATATTTATTTATTGCAAAATTATGAATTTTTAAAAAAATTTTTATTTTTTATTGATTTTTGTTGAAACTTTGATTTTTATTAAAAAAAAAGTAACGTAAAGTTATAACAGTAACGTAAAGTAAAGTTGTAACATTTGTTATAAAGTAACGTAAAGTAAAGTTGTAACATTTGACTTTAAAAACAAGTGGATGGTGTTATGGAGATTTTAAAGAAAAATCTCAATTTTTTCAAATTTTTTAAATCCTAGTAAAAAAATGTAAGGACTTAAACAATTTAGTTTGTAGACCGTATCAATAAAAATAATGTTTTGCAAACAGAAGGTTAATATCTAATTATACAAGATTTATAAATCGTGCACATATAATCTTCTTTTTCTTATATATTATTATAAATACAATAAATTTTTCGAGGCCTAATGATAAATAAATTTATAGATATTTGTTGTCATTTTGTATTATGCGTTCGATTGTTCACAGTTTAAAAATATATTACGCAATTTTGCTATCTTTATTTGCCCGAATTGACTATATTTAAATATATTAATTTAAAAATTTAAATATATTTAAATATATTAAAAATATATTAAAAATATATTAAAAATTTAAATATATTTAAATATATTAATTTTAATATATTAATGTAAATATATTAATTAAGAAATATAATAATTCTAAACTTTTTCTATTAATTAACTTTTGCTTCAACAGGAGTTTAACATATAAAATAATCAAACTTGAGATTCATCAAAGATTACGGTTGACAATTGTCTTGAGGACATCCTGTACATTATTGTATATTCAAACGTCGTCGAATTGATTGAAAACAATGGGAAAGATATGTCACGCGGCTACACCTGTACATAGACATACATATTTTCATGTATATGTTCGTATAAGTAAAATAAAGTAAGATGGGAGAGACGCGAGAGGCACTAAGGAGCGATTGAATAGGAAACATATGCTGCCAGTAGTCTAAGAACCAAGCAGCCAGCCGCTATCCTCCGTTCCAATTCTCTCTCCCTAATCGTTTCTTCCCCTCTCCTCACAATCCTCTAGTTCGTCAGACGTACAATGGCCGATTTTGCTTTCCTTTCTTCCCCATTGCTCGTCCTGTTGCGCTCCTCTTTCGCATCTTTCAGCTTCTTTCCTCCCTTCCTATTTCTGGTATCCTCGGTTATACTGGAGGAGCGAGGCAGTCGAAATACAATGGCCGGCTATAAATTACCTTTGGGAATGCCAGCATTAAATTCTGCTGGATTTACCCTTTATACACAGCCGCCCCTCGTGAGAGAGAAGGCTTAATTGAGCGATCTCGAATCGTGATACGTATCACGGACTATTCCAATCGTATTTTCGTATGTTACATAAAAGATTCTCTATGTTTGCACTTTTCAAAGTCAAATCCTTCATAATTATGAAAAAAAATCTCTACATTTTAGCAAAAAATAAAACGTTAAGCTGGATATGCAACAATAAATAATGTCACTGTCAACGTAACAACGTCTCAAATATTCTCATAAATATCGGAGATTTAAAGATTATATGTATAAAAATATTTCCGATTCTGTGACTGGTCACAATATCTATTGCCCCATTTGAAATCCATACAAGAATATTTGACGTTATATTGACATGAAGCTGATATTACATACAGAGTGTATCCATTTGTAGAGAATTCGTAATTCATTTTTACTATTCGTAAAATTCGTATCTTAATATATTCAGGACAAAACATATAAAATTAAATCGAAATTTTAATTAAATTTTTTATGAAAGTTGTTTTGTCTTTTTCCATTAGTAGAATTTCAATTAATATTCAGGCGTACAGAAGAAAATTCCAAAGGTTTTGTAGAGTGATTTTGAATCCAAAACTATAGATTTATATACTCCTGGACAAAATTAACGCATCATTTTTTTTACTTTTTCTTTAAAATTTAAATATCAGCTTTTAAAAGAATCGAATACTCGGCCTTACTTAATTCGCAGTTTATTTGTGGTTTATTTCGGCAATATTGTGAATCGGTAGCACCCCATCGGAAAAAATCTCGCGCCTTTCGGATTGATTTATCGCAACTATTAATTCCTATCGGAATGGTAATCGTGTGTCGCGCACGCATCTGCGGTCGATCCTGTCGTTAAATTCGTGCATACGTACGTATAAATGCACACATATATATAGATAGATAGAGCGAACGTGTTACGAGAACGAGCCAGCGAGTGACAAATTACGAATAAAATATTGATTCGCCGTCGGTTTGTCGGCGCGAGCGTTACGCCGAATTAATGTACCAGCGTATAATTGGACTACCGTTCGTATTAATTACCCGTTCGCAAGTTGCGTCAATCTCGAATTGCAACAGTAGCGGTCTCATAATCTCGATTATTCAACTACGTCCACATAGATGCAATCTTTATTACATTTTCCTGTAAAAGACATAACGATTCCGTTAATATACTATTTGCCACAAGATATGAGAGACACATGAAGAGATGTAAGAAAATCTTTTTCTAATATAAAAAACAAACATTGAAAAAAAAAAAACAAATTCATTTTTTTATTATTTAATAAAATACATTATTATTATTTAATAAAATATTATATTTTATTATAATATAAAATATTACTTTTAATATAATATTATTTTTTGAATATAAGAAAAAAAATGTCTCTAAAGTTCTTGTATTTTTAATTTATTTTTTTCTTTTAAATATTTTAATGAATTAATGAAATTTTTGCGATAAATTTAAACACGATCTAATTCGAATAATTTTCAATTGGACGCATAACAAAAATTTTTATTATGTATCTGATTGAAAATTATCTGAATTATGTCGTGTGTGGTATCATTTTAAGTGCAAAAATCATTAAATAATTAAAATTACTTTCGGAAAAATAAAAATAAAAATATAAAAACTCTTTTCAATTTTTTTACTAGATTAAAATAGTAATTAAAGTATATTTTTAAAAATTATTATGTTTTTGCAAAACTATGAAGACAAAAATATATTCCAAATTAAAATAAAAATTCGTCCAAATAATGAGTAATTTGAAATATAATATTAATAATTAAAAGAAAGAAGAAGATGTTTTTATTCTTTCTTTATTCTGCTTTACTGACTCTTTTTTGTCAATTTTTAATTAATTTTTCAAAAATATATTACACAAATTTCCAAATAAAAATTATTTTTTAAATCTCACAGAAGAATAGTTTGATTCTGTCAGCTTAAACGAATCGTTCTCGTCATACTATCGCCACATGTTTATCACTGGTATTCATGATGTACTGTCAGATTATCCGGCTCGTTGACCATGTATCTACAGCGGCGCGAACGGACAATTCACTGAATAAAAGAATACAAATGAGATCGTGGAAACTTTCAAATCGAATTCGGTCGGAATTTTACGAGCGGATTGTCCATAAAAGCGGCGGAATTGTGTTTTGTATTTTTTTAACTTCTTTTTTTCTTATCTAGACCAATTTTAAGTCACTTCAGGATCGTCTTTCTTTCTTTTTCTCTCTTTTTCAACTTTCTCTATTTTCTATCTCTCTTTTTGCGACTTACACGACAAACGCTTCTTTCGTTTGTTTAAAAAAACGACTTTAATCGTATCCAACTGTGCGAAAAACGCAAAGCTTTTCATCACCGAAAAAAAAAAAAAACAAAGAGCGTATGTTGACAGAAAAAACGCAACGAGAGATGATTCAGAATGAATACAAAGAATAAATATAAAATCTATGAAATATGCATATAAATGCAAATTTAAAGAGAGAGAGAGAGAAACATGCTTATAAATATTCGAATAATTAATTATGGAAAATAAAAATTTCATATAATCACAATTTTGTTAAGTGAAAAACTTAATTTTATAAGATTGTGATTTGCAGACAATACATTATTATCAGTGGTTGGTTTCATAGAAACTATTATGAACAGATTATAAGTACATTTATTTTATTTTGTATAAATTGCACCTAATCTTGTCTTGATATGATTATTTAAATTTTGAGAAAATTTTTTTAATCCCTCCTTTTAATAAAAGTATTTAAAAATTTCATATATAGTTTGTTTTTACATTAGAAATGCATCCAAATATTTATTCTGCGGAAGAAAACGCTTGAGAAATCAAAAGTTAAGAAAGAGATGCCGGCGATCTCCTTAAGAAGTTTATCCGCTACGGGCGAATCTTCTCTCTTTCGGTAACTTTAGCCATGAACTTTCACCGGAATGTTTTCCCGCAGCTGCAAAAAATCGTTTTCCAAGCATTTTAGAATAATTCAGCAAATTACTGGCAATCAAAATCCACATTATTTTTTACAGAAATTCATGGCTCATGTAATTTTTTAATGCACATATAAACACAAAAATTTTTATTTTCTCACTGTATTTTATATATGCTACAATTTATATTCATGAAAAATATATAATAATAATAATAATAATAAAATAATAAAATAAAAAATTAAAAGGGGAATAAATATTTGGAATAATTAGTCATGAAAAATAAAAATCGTATAATTATAATCTTGTAAAGAGGAAAAAAAAATTGATTTTATTATTAGTTTTATTATTACTA